GCACTTTCAGCAATAGCCTTTCATGGGTTCTCTTCCTGCCTCAACTTCTTTACATGACCCCTTCAGTCCTGGGCCTTCAACTAACACTGAAGGGCTGCACCTTCACCCCTCCTGGCCTCTCACAGTGCCAAGCCTCAGCTGATCTCCATGACCCCTTCAAGCCTTCAAAACCTTTCCTACTTTGGTGACTCTTACACATTACCAAGTTCAGCCACCAACACAAGGTACAAGCGTGGCCGCCTCTGGAGCACAGCTTGTGTGTGCAAGACTCTCAAGAATCACTTTCCTGAAGACTTCACGCCATGAAGCTGGTCTCTACTTAATCACTGCTAATTTCTTAGTTCCAGCTAACCAGCATCAATTAGTTGACTCAGTAATGAGGTTTTCACTTCAGTGATGCTGGTCTCTTGTTAATTGTAGCTGACTCTTCAGCCCCAGCTGACCAGAATGACAGAATCTTAATTCAAAATAGCAAATGGCCCTGATAGAGTCTTTAAATTTTGCTCTGAAATTTCATAAGCCAAGCCTCCATCATCTTCACTGCTCTTACCATTCTTATCTTCCAAACAACATCTAACTGAGATATCAATGCTCAATGGCTTTTCTATCCCAAAGTTTCGAAGTCTGTTCATAATTCTCTTCATAACATGGTCAGATCTGTCTGTCACAGCAGTATTTGACTGCTGGTTACAACCTGTCTTCGTTAGAGTTTCCATTGCTGCAACAAAACACCATAACCAAAAATTAAGCTGGGGAGGAAAGGATTTATTTAGCTTATACTCTGTCCATTACCGAAGGAAGTCAGGGCAGGAACTTAAGCAGGGAAGGACCATGGAGCCAGAAGCGGATGCAGAGGCCATGAAGGAGTGCTGCTTACTGTCCTGCTCTCTGTAGTTTGCTCAGCCTGCTTTCTTACAGAACCTAGAAGCACCAGCCCAAGGATGGCACCACCCACAATGGGCTGGGCCCTCCTACAGTGATCACTAATTAGGAAAATGTCTTACAGCTGGATCTCATGGAGCCATTTTCTCAATTGAGGCTCCCTCCTTTCAGATGACTCTAGCTAGTGTCAAACTGACATACAACTAGCCAGCAGAGTTGGTCACTCCCACAAGTTTTGTGCCACCATTTCCCTAGCATATCTTGCAGATAAAAGGGTTTGTGGCTGGCTTGGTGTTTATATTTCTCTTTTGATAGCATGCACAGTACCTTCCTGTAACAAAGATCCTAGGACATAGGAGTAAAAACTCTGTGTGGGCACCAGCTCATCATCTCCATGTGCAATGAGTTGTGTATGTGTTGTCTTCAGCTATGGGGACTTGCTGTCAGTTGTGGAGAGCAACCTATATAGTCTTGGCAACAGTCTGGGTTGCTTATGGATTCCTGTAGAGCCCCTTTGGCCAGCAACTCCATCAGATGTAACCCAAACCCAGTACTGGAAGCTTCATACAGTGTCAAGAGATGGCCAGTTGGATTTCTGTCTCCCATTATTTGTCAGCTTCACTTAGCTAACCTTCATATATGTGTATGTTTTAGGGGGTCTCTACTGCATTAGGTTTCCATACTAACCCTCAAATACTCTTTAATTTTAGCTGTCTACCCCTCTGTTCCCTTCCACTACCTCCTTTCCCCTTTCCATCATCACATTTCAGACACCTCAAAGTACCCCCTGTTTTCATCCAATGCTCTGAGCCAACAGCCTCAGCAACAACTGTAAGGAATAGAACTCTGCATTTAGCCAAAGTTCCAGCATGCAGTGATCAGCTATTCAATTGGGTGCAATCAACTCAGAGCCAATCACACTTCATCTACCTGCACAAACCCAGAAAATGAGGTGGAGATATGTGTACTCTTAGCTCTCTGCCATTTGTAGTGAGACTGAAGGCTCAAACCCCCCCCCCCACAGGCTTTTTTTCTCTGAGAACATGCAAAGTCCCATTTGTCCTAGCTGCATGGTTAGGAGTCAGGTGTGGCAGGAATAAAGGGCTCCTGGATATGTGACATTGACCAATATAAGCAACATTCCATCACTCCCTATCACTGAGTTTCACACTACCAAACTGGTGTGCTTTGTCTATATGCCACCTTACGGTATTTTCTTCCTTGTACCGGGGGTGGTGTAGAGTTCCCTTGCCCCATGGTATTTCTTTCCATACACCCTGGGTAGTGCAAACCATTCTTTTCTGTTCTCAGGGCTCAAACTGCTGTACTTCTTGGCTTTTCTCTGTTTTAAGAGTTGTATGAACCTGAATTTTTGCCCTGTGTCTCTGTTTTTAAATGACCCCTTTAGTCATTCCCGATTTCTTCCTTACTCAGCCACTTGTTTTCCTGATGATTTCAGTTGGGCCTATGGTGGGCTCCTGCCCCTTTCTTGACATAAGAATTACTACGGAAGAGTCTGTGGGTAAAATACTCTGAAGATAAACTCAGAGTCATCAAAATGCTTCAGTGTCACATTAAAGAAAGGAAAAGCCAACACTTCCATCTTGGATTAGTTTGACTGATTGGTGAGTCCAAGTTTGACTCCTCTCCTTCTATTCCTGGAGCTCCCGTCTGTCCCAAACAAAAGGCTTTGCTCTGTATTTATTGAACAGAGCAGAAAGCATAACATGGAAAATGAGAGATTCTTTACAAAAATCAATAGTTTTCAATGTATTATGTTACTGATTCTAATCAAACTAGAAATACTCAGTACCACAAAGACACTTTATCAAGCTATATCCACAAGTTGATTCAAATGATGTGGTGATATTCATTGTAAATGGTTGCTTCCAAGCTGTGGGCTACTTTCAACAAATGCTTACCACAATGCACACATACACACATGCATTACTCTGGATCAGGGTGTGCATTAGTGTAGGCTGTAAGAGTGCATTGTTGGGAAACTGAGGCAAGTAAGGTTAGTTGTTACATTGTTCTCTTAAGGGCAAGTTAAACTTCAACAGGCTGATTACACAGTAGGATAGCAGGTTGTGACTTCAGTGATCTCAAAGTGTATTATTAACTTGGTTGTGAGGTCCAGAAAAAGCCAGTCTTTTTGAATGTAAGAGATATTTGCATAAAATTGTATTGCTATGGAGCAGAGGCCAGGTACATTGGTGTCTCCTGACGTCCCTCTTGCCAGCCGAGTGTCAAGGACTAAGACCATCCCCACCCTCTCCTTTGTGTGGAAATCATGCCCTCTATCCCCACCCTCTTCTCTGTGTGGAAATCATGCCCTCCATCCCCACCTCTTCTTCATGTGGAAATCATGCCCTTTCCTGTCAGATGGTAGTCAGAATCAAGTCCTGGGAGGCGACCAGGTTTTAATGGCTCCATTTCAGAAATGCTGGTCCTTATTGTTCACCTCTGCCCTGGAGAGACCCTAGAGAACTTTCCATTTGCCATCTGGGAGCGGCTCTCCCCAGATCCTCCCTGGGGATCTGAGTCGTCCAAGTCATTACAGGAATAAATGTTCACTGGCTGACTCCAACCTTGAGCTGTTTCCCTACAGCAGCTCCAGCTGACCACTGACAGCCATAGCAGTCTGCCCTCCCCATTAATTCCACATGAAAGAACAGCTCTAGGGGCCTCCTGCCTGGCATCAGCCCCATTATTGGGGGGCTGACGGGAATTGATGACAGGACATGGGCACCGAGGAGTAAGCAGGAGGAGGAGGAGCCAGGCCATTTTGGAGTCCCAGCAGAAAGAGATGCTGCTAGGAACTTGGTTTGGTGGGGCCGGCAGGTGAGACACCCCCTCCAGGGCCCCCTTGCTCTGGGCAAACTTCTCAGCTATCCTCAGGGAAAGCAGAAATGGAAAGGAAGGGTGAAAGGAAGAGAAGGGTGTGAGAAGGTACGAGTGCAGGGAACGGAGGAGTGCAGAAAGGAAACTTGGGTTCTGAAAAGGGCTCACAAGCGCTGCTTACCCTAGGACCTGCTCACATGTGGGTATTCTGGAACCTCCCTAGATGGTGAATGTCACACACATCAGGGCGGGAGAATTCAGTTCCTAGTCCTTTGGGCCCTGAAGCAGGCTGTGGACCACACAGGCTTTCTAGGTCCTTTCAGGGAAGTCGGTTTCTGAGGAGTGAGCCTCTGAGTTTGAGTTAGATAGATGACCTGGCTTCATGTAAACAAATATGCTCAGGAGAGGCTCCAGCAAACAAGTTGTGGGGGGGGGGGGGGGGGGGGGGGGGTCTGGGAACAGGCACACACTCTACAAACATGCACTTGTGACCATGGGACCTGAGAAAGGTGGCAGGGAGTCAGGGCGCATCCATGGAAAGAGTGTTGGTACTTTAGGCCCTAAGGTCAGCGCTCACTGCATGAGGAGGGAAGAGTCCCTGAGCAAACTGTCCAGGCCCTCGCTGTGACCTGGCTAGAAACACAGGCGAGCCACCACCACAACGCCGTGAGGCGCATCCCACTTGCTTTGTCCCGGAGGACCTGAAGTTGGAGAATCTTGTCCTCAGGTTGTTCAGGACCCCAGGAGCTGGGGGATGGGGAGAGTCGGAAGGCATAGGATGGAGAAGTGGGGAGAGCCCCGGGAGCTTCGTGCAGGTCCGCGCTAGCCACTTAGCTCTCTTCCCGGGATCTGCTTCTCTCCGACTTTGCTGGAATCAGCGGCTGGAAGTCCCTTGCAGGCGCTGGCCGGCCAACCCCGAGGAGAACAAGCAGGGACCAAAGACCTGGACTGCTTCCTCCTGGAAGCAACTGTCCGTCTGGTCCGCAACGCGTCCAGCCTGGAGGTCTCCTGATCCCACGTGGTCGAAGCTCTCTGGCCACACAAGACAGTGGCCAAACTCTGCCTGCCCAGGTTCAGTGGGCTCTGGCTCCCGCAGCCAGCGTAGTCCCCAAGAGATGCTGGGGCGCTATCCTGCCGTCCTCCGCCCACCCGGGGCGGGACGGAGGCGGAGCCAGTGTCAGTGGGCGCCCTCGACGGCGGGCGGGGCTAGGCGGACCGACCCCGCGATAGAATAAGAGCTCAAGGCTGAGACCCGTCAGAGCTGTGAAGTGGGACTGAAGGTTTACAGGACCACAGGGCTGAGGACTGGCGCAGGAGGCAGGTAAGAATTCAGGGTCTCTTCTTACGCATCCTCCTCAGTGACATCTCCTCTATCCATGCTCCACTCTGACCCTGGACGGCCGTGCCCCGGAGCATGGGGCAGGAACCAGAGCCATCCGAGATCCTAGCCCAAGTCTCCAACAGCCAGGGTTTTGGAGAGCAGCTCCATCCACACAGAGCTAAGGGGTGTGCACTCAGAGTAGGGGTCCACAGAGCCCTGGCTCAAGACCTTGTTCACAAAAGGTTGATGATGCTTCCCGGGGGACATGGATGTCTGTGGCTGAGGCTGGGCACCTCAGACCCTTGGTGCTTGACTCACTCCACCTCAGCGGCCTGGATCTGGAGGAAGCACACTCCTCGGGGTTATTTTCACAACGTGTCAAAAGCTCCATCTCCCTTCTCCGTTTTGTTGTGTTATTTTGTTTTTTGTCTTTTCTGTAAGCCAGGCTGAACTCAGGTTGTTGGGGAAGACAGAGAATCTTGGCTTATGAGCCACCTGTGTCCTGATCCAGCTGGTGAAAAGAGATGTTTTCTCAGGGGCCATTTATCTGTCTGTGCCCAAACCTCGTCTCTGAGCCATGGGTTGAGTAGGGTGGGGCAAACAGGTGCCTCAGTACCTGTATGTCCGTCAGAGAGCTGGGCGCAGGGCCTGGGGCGGGGCCCTTTGCTCTTGCCCCTTGCCCTTGCCCCTTGCCTTCTCCCAGCCAACCTACTCGGGCAGTCCTACCTGCCCCTCGCAGCCGCAACCCTTTATCCCATTTCCAACACATGTGAGGAATTTGCATTTGGGTTTGTCACAAAGAGGCCACAGAGAACTGGTGCATAAAATAACTTCTGTCAGGAGTTTTTGTTGAGGGATGCAGAGGAAAGTCACCCCATTAGAGCAGCCACGCAGATGTGGGGCTTCCATCAGTGTGCTTGTCTGAGTTCAGTGGAAACAGGCTGTCACTGGGTGTGAGGCTGCTGCCTCCTTTATGCCTCGGGGCCCTGGCTCTGCAGAAGCCTAGGACAGGCTTCTTCCGGGCGTGCTGCTGGGATAGCAGTGGGCTGATCCCTCCCCAGTGACTTTCTGGTAACTCTGTCAGCTCAAAGGCCCGTGAAGCCATGGTCATGGGCAGGGTGCTTTGTACACTTGGAGAAACTGATGAGCATTTGTCTTAAACTTTCAGTTACTGTGGCTGATTTTGGTTATCTATTGATTTTGCTTTTTACTGTGCTACTGAGCATAAAGAAAGCCACACACCCTTACAAAGACTAAAGTGAGTGGAATGCTATTGGCAAGGTGTAAAGTTCCCCCTGGGAATGTGGATAAGCGGTGCAGGCAACACCTAGGATTGTTATTAGGAAGAAAATTAGAAATCACACAAGCCTGCACTGATGAGAATGAGGGCTTAGATGGGAAAGGGAAGCTCAGGGGTGTGTCTGTTTCTGTTCTCTATAGCAAGTCTCTCTCATCTCTGTGAGCCTCTCCCAGCATGCCCCAGCTATCCTTCATGCTGGCCATGGCATCTTAGATGCTTGAATCACCTCAGGTCTCTGTGCTCTACCAAGGTGCCCTGTAGACATGGCTATTGAATCTATGCATTGCTGTGTGTGTGGTTTTTTGTTTTTGTTTTTCTGTTGGCTGAAGTCCAAGAAGAAAGAAGCAGAATTCCTTGGGCTCCAGTCTACCCATGAGTAAGAGTAAATGCTCCGTGGGACCAATGTCCTCTGTGGTGGCCCCAGCTAAAGAGCCCAATGCCGTGGGCCCCAGAGAAGTGGAGCTCATCCTGGTCAAGGAGCAGAATGGAGTGCAGCTGACCAACTCCACCCTCATCAACCCACCACAGACACCAGTGGAGGCTCAAGAGCGGGAGACCTGGAGCAAGAAAATTGATTTCCTGCTATCAGTCATTGGCTTTGCTGTGGACCTGGCCAATGTTTGGCGTTTTCCCTACCTGTGCTACAAAAATGGTGGAGGTGAGTATTGCCTGGCCTCCTGTGCCTTGGCAGGGAATTCAGAGACACAGTGGAGGAGATGGAAGCCATGGGACAGTGAGGGGAGGGATGTGCTGTCAAGAAATGCTCACATTGAAGGCTGAGGAGACAACTAAGTCAATGAAGTGCTTCCCGTGCAAGGATGGAGACCCTAGTTTGATCTCCAGGCCCCACATAGAAAAGCAGGACTTGGTGGCATGCACTTGTAATGCTAGTTAGTGCTAGGGAGGTGGGGACATGTAGAACCCTGAGGATTGACAGCCATCTAGGTTCAGTCTAGCCTATCCAGGAAGAGGCCAATGATAGACACTGTCTCAAAAAACAAAGTGTCTGAGGAATGACACCCAAGCATGATGCCTGGCCTCACAGGTATGTACAAACATGCTCCTGTATACACAGGAATATGAGCACAAGAATTGCTTAAAGTGGGTCAATCCAGTCTTCCTGTAGGATGGTGAGGCTGCCTCTCCAGCAGCCCTGCTTTTCACTTTTTCCAAGCTGGAGAGCTCAGAGAAAAATCTAACAGCCAGGGAACGTGGAACCCAGAAAATAGAAGCGAGAAGGAAGGAAGTGGAGGCATCAGACCCTGACTCCTATTTCCACTAGAAGTTTTACTTTGGAAAGGCCAAACAACATGTTTTCAGTCAATGTCAACAGTGTTTATAGAGTTGTTGAACTTCGCAAAATTTCAAGCTAAAAGACCAGAAGATGCCACTGAATGGAAATATCTCTGCTACCTCTTCTCTCCCTCCCTCCCTTCCACCCTCCCTTCCTTCTTCCCCTCCTTACTTTAAATACAGGGATGGGAACTGAGCACAGAGCTTTCTGCATGCTGGCAAACACTCTAACACCGAGTCACATCCATAGCCCTCTGAAAGTTTTCAGTTTGATTAAGAATTCCACTGTTTCCTGGGCAATTCTTAACCTCACTCTGTAGATGAGGCAGGCCTTGAACATATAGTCTCCCTTCCTTTAGCTTCTCGAGCAGCTAGGATTATGGGTCTCTGCCACCAAGCCTGGCTCCCCTACTTTCTTATCTCAGTTCTTGAGCCACAGCTGTGCAGTGGACCTAAAAAGAAGGCAAGGTGCAGGGTACAAAAAGAAATTCAACTTGAGTCCAGCAGTCTGTTTTCATGGCATGGTCACCCTGACTAGCTGCAGGGTATGAAGAATTGCTCTGGAAAGAAAAGGCTAAAGCAAAGCCATCAGTACAGTGGCCTCATTACATGCTTTTGAAGGTGAGAAGCCCAGGGTCTCAGCAGCTCTAGTTAGTGATGCAAAAACTTAGGTGAGAGGGCTCCCACCTTCCTCATCCAAATGCCAGGAGAAAAGTGTGGTCAACCTCTGCTTCAATCAAGGACAGATCTTGGGGAGCAAGAGGACTTGGGTGAGTGTGGCCTTTTTGTGCAGTAGAGTGCACAGTTTAAGCAGACAAAACCCTGCACTCCAGCTCTAGGAAATTCCTGGCAGCAGAAACTCAGCTCTAGTCCCTAGAGAGGCAGTCTCTAAATGCCAGACTGGGTCACAGATCCCAGGACCACAACTCTCAGGGGGCAAATAGGATTAAGACAAAGTGGGGCTGGGCATGAAGGGGCAGACAGTGCTAGGTAGGAATAAGGCTGAGAAGCAGCTCAGGGCCTTGACTGCCTTGATTCTGGAGGAATATAGGATGTGGGATTGGGGACAACCTGAGACATTAAGGGGAGCATGTCCAACACTGATAGCAGCTGGGATGGGCAAGAAGGTGGGGTTCACTTCCCATCAAGTATATCCCCTTAGGTGGTAGCTATGCAGGAGCCTTCTGCTCTAGACAGGAAACTGGGTGACAAGGTCACACTTGAGGGTATATCATTGGGACCCATGTGCAGATAATGAAAGCAGCGCCTTCTGTGGCCCCAAACTGAAGCTGCTATCCTATGCACAGGTGCCTTCCTGGTGCCCTACCTGCTCTTCATGGTTATTGCCGGGATGCCGCTCTTCTACATGGAGCTGGCTCTAGGGCAATTCAACAGAGAAGGAGCTGCTGGTGTCTGGAAGATCTGCCCTGTCCTGAAAGGTAACACTCAGGGAATGGCCCCTGCCAAGACGTGGCTGCGTCTCTGGGGCTTCAGAACAAGATGATGACATTACGTGCAGGTTCTTCTTTCCTAAACTGTGTGGACATGTGCACATGCTCTTCTAATCTGGCTCTCACCTTAAAGACTAATGACCAGGAATCTTCCAGAGCATTCCTCCCTCCCAAGCCCAGCTTCCTTGAAGCTAAATTGTGGTATTTTTGTCAGGGTGTTAAAATGGTAAGATTAAAAAAAATCCTATAAATCTGTCATCTGTCATCCACTTACCTACCTATGGTCCATCCAGCAAGCACCTTTTTAAAATCTATCCTCTATCTATACAACCATTATCTACTATCTATTTCCATTCATCTATCATCTATGTACATATCTATCTATTCACCTGTCAATCATCTATCCATCATCCATCATGTATCTACCAAACATCCGTCTACTTCAGTGAGCCCCAGAATGTTTATTCAAGGCTTCAGAACTATGAGGTAGAGCTGTACCTTACCCTGAGCCTCGGTAGCCTGCCCAGCAGTTGATACTTCCCAGATGTCGCCTCTCTTGTCCCCAAAAGATACAAATACTGAGAAGAAGGCTAAAGACTTCTCCGTGTGTTAAAGGCGATCCTGCATTCTATCCACCCCAGTCCAGGTTTGGATCACCCTTGTCCTGACCCAATGCCACCCCAAAGAGATAGGGTTTCAGGAGATTTCAAGATTCTTCTTAGAAGAGACTCGGTGACATTCCCTAACAACCCTTGAAAGACTAGCATTTGGGTTTTTTCAAAACTATTTGAGCAGTAGCTAAATGGAAAAAAGAAGAGCCCCAGTTCCCCTTACAGTGTCTGTGGGCCACTGGTTGACACACAAGACTGGAAACTACTGCTCTGAGGGCTTCTCACAGCTGCTCAGGACATGCTCTTCATGAACATGCTGATCTTTTGCAGTGGCAATGAGAAATGCAGAGGCTGCTGGCACAAACAGTAGGCTTCTCTGTTTTGGATTCACAGCTGGTAAGTGTTAAGATTTTTTTGTTCTAGGCTAAAATGATTCTCTGGATCACAGTGAAGTGGAACTGTGTAAAAAGAGACTTCATCAAAACCTACCTCCACACACAACATTCGAGCCAGACAGACTCACTGGAGATGTGTATTGGCCCTGGATGCTCCACGTTGAGATCAAAATGCAGGATTCAGCATGTAGAGGAACTTCATGGGCCTGTTTGACACCATCCTTGGTTTCTAGTGGAGGACTACTGCAGCACCTGGGAACCCTGGGACTCTAGGCGATAATTCTTGTGTTGAAGTCCAATTACTATATGAACAAGGTCAGTGCACTCAACCTAAGAGCTTCCAGTGAATGTGAGTGACTCATGTCAAGTCCTCCTCGACTATCTAGCAGTGCTAATGTGACCCAGGGAGCAGACACTTCTGAGGCTGTGGCTCACGGTAGCCATGATGAGCTTCAACCAAATGTGGCTTTCAGGTGGCAGCTGAGAATGGAATTGGAGACCCTGCCTGCTCGACCTTGCATAGAGGACATGTCCAGGGTTGGTGGCCACATGTAAATGTGCAGACTGGGACTGCAGTGATGCCAGAATTTGCTCTGCTGGATTTATTTATTTATTTATCTATTTATTTATTTGTTTATTGTCTCATGCTCCTGGATTGTGGAGTTTCCACAGAGCACAAACAACCGTATGCCTCAGTCCTCACTGGCAGTCATAAGACTGAAAGACCAACAGGAAACCAGGAAAGAGGACAGATTCAGCACCCAGGGCTGTGGCCATCCAGGAAAGCTGGTCAGTTCAAACATGGACCTATGCACAGCCCAAAGTTCTCTATCAGTAGCTGGGTAGTAGTGACGGTCCACTCCAACAATCCCAGCACTAAGCAATCTGAGGCAGGAGGATTATAAATCCTAGGACAACCCTGGCACCCTAAGAGGCTGTCTGAAAAAAAAATCTCTCCAGCAAAACCACTAAAGCAATTTTGTTTTAATTTTGTTGTAAAATATCAGATAAACCACTTAGAAGAGCTGAAATGCTTCACAGTACTCTAATAATCTGGCTTGGAGCACAGTGGAACTGAGAAGGCATTGATACTGACAGCTTTGTAGGGAAAAAAAAGATGGTGGCTGTGTGACTAGGAAGGCGATAGAACCTCAAGAAAATGGGCAGAGCCCAAAGAACCGTGCTGCCCTCAGTCCTTGGTGATTCTACGCCTGCTTCCTAGGCAGTCTTTTATATCATTTCAAAGACAAGTCTGTGAAAGGGCCACACTGGAGCAGAAGCAAGGTTGTGGGAAGAGACTATGAACCCCAGGTGGGGATCTCAGGCAGGTGTTCTCATCAGCTCCTAGCTGGAGGCTGGGGAGGTTCCACTCAAAGAAACAAAGTGTGAGTCCTCTCTCTCTCTCTCTCTCTCTCTCTCTCTCTCTCTCTCTCCCTATGTCCTCCCCTCTCCCTCCTTTCCTTCTTCCCCACTTTGAATCATCCAATATCACACCAGCTACAGTCCAAGAGGATCTTTCCTGCTTGTTTTCTTGACCCCCTTGGAATATATGCCTTCTCTTTCCTTCTTTATCTTTTCAAAAACTTGTTACGAAAATTATCTGTATTTTCTTGGTGCACAAATTTAAATTCTACATGGACAGTGAAGAAGACAGTTAAAATATCCAGCACAACTGTGGGATAAAAGATTGAGCAGTTCCTCAGGAGAAACTGGGTTCTCTTACCTCCTGCCAATCTCCTCTTCCAAACTAGGAAAGAAGCTCTATCTTTAAAAGCCAGATAGGAAAGTCCAAGGTAAGAACATAAAGTGAAGCACAAGGTAGGGGATAGTGATGACAAGGTGAGAAGAGTGAGGACAAGGTGCGGACTGTGAGGACAAGGTGAGGACAGTGAGGACAGAAAGGACAAGGTGAGGAGAGTGAGGACAACGTGAGGACAGTAAGGACAGTGAGGACAGTGAGGACAAGGTGAGGACAGTGAGGACAGTG